GGATGGCTTCCTCTTCTTACGATATTTTCTTTCTTTTTTTTTTGTTAAGGATGCATATATAATGTTATAAGAATACTACGCACTGTTACTAGCGAGAATAATATGACATAAAAATTCAAGTTTAGAAATTTATGAGTTTTGAGGGTTTAGAGCGCATTTTTTGGCATTATGAATTGTGGTGCTAGGTATTAAATTCAATCAAAATTTTAAGTAATGGCTAACATAAGTTTTAACATCACTGCTTTAGATTAGTGGTGTGCAACCTTTTTGGTGCCACGGCACACCTATGCTTTCTCGAAATCCCGGTCCCGACAAATTTTCGGGATCGGGATCGGGATTGAAATTTTTCGGGATTTCCCGGGAAATCCCGGGAATCCCGAATATGTAAAAAAATTTAAAAAACAGCATTTTTCTGCTTTTTTTCCCAAAAAAAATTATATATTTTTTTGCTACTTATTATTAGTTATACTTTATGTGTTACAAGGTAGATGTTTTAATCCATTTTTCCTTTGAAAAATGTGAACATAAACAAAAATAGAAAATAAATGTTGATAAAGATGTAAGTTAAAAGGTTATAGAAAACGGTGTGAATATAATAATAAAAATTAAGCATTAATGAAAAAACTTTTAACAAATGCAATTGCATTTAGATTCTTGTCAAGTAAACGTTTTCTTTGTTTTGTAAGAATGTTGTTACTAATAGAGAAATTTCGTTCGCTTTGAGTTGAGGTCGGCTGCATTGTTATCAATGCATCGTAAAGTTGATTTAATAAAACGGTTCTCTTCTTATTTTTGTCATACCAATTAAACTCTCTTTTCAAGTTATTTGGTTCTGTTGCTGCTGCATCTGTTGTTAATGATGTATATTCAGATATGCTTAGTTTCAGTCTATCTCGAATAGAATGTTTGACGGTTGGATTTGATTTGCACTGGATGTTGAAGCTTCCATAGCTCCATTTGTAGAGTTTTTGACAAAATACTTCTTCAATAAGTCAATGCCAAGTTTATGTATTGCAGCTTTTGTTGACGATTTAAAATGCTTCTCTAAAGAAATATATTGAGGATTATTCAGGTAAAGTATTAAGTCAATTAATGTTCCATTTCTTCGTGCACCTATGCGAGCGCAATTCATATCGTAAACCTTTTGAGACAATAATGTTCCTTGTAGCAACAATTCGTCTAGCAAAAAGTTAATTGTTCCTTCAGCAATTAATAAATCGTTTGATTTACGCAATAATTCTTCTGTCGCGTATTTAGCAGGTTCTAAAACATCAATGATTTCCTAAACTAAAAAACCGGGATTTTCAATCCCGATCCCGATAAATTTCGGGATCCCGGGATTGATCGGGATCGGTAAATCCCGGGAAATCCCGATCCCGATCCCGATAGCGAGAAAGCATAGGCACACCTTAGTACTAAGCCATGAATAAAACTGCACGCAGCTTAAAGTTAATGGGTTAGTTCCAGATTTTTCTCGCTGTATACTACACATGGGTTGCCCATCACTGCTTCAGATGATAGTCCAGGACATATTGAGTTGGTCAAGTTCACTTTTACATCTACATGAGCATTTCAGATCATCCAAATTCCACCAAATATTAATTCTACTTCTTCAAAATCGTAAACTTTAAAAGCTTCAAAAAAATCCTTTAAAATCTTAAAAGAAATGTCCTCAAAAATTTATTTTCAAACAAATAAGAAGCTTATAAATTATTTAAGTCATTCCTCACGCACACAAAACAAAATTAATTCCGTAAAACTTTTTTTGTTAAAAAATTTATAAGATTTGTAGATTGAAAAGCCCTGTAATCTGTCTAAAGACTTGACAAAGATATTTGTTGGTCTAATATATTTCTAGGAATTTTCTTAGTGTAGCTTATTCTTTGATATCGCTGTTGCTAGATATTTTTTGAGTGCCTTAGGATTTATCTGAGCTTTTCATTTAAAGCTAAGATGATTTAATGATTTTAATGGCAAGCTTTTATGTTATTGAATTTTTGGATCCTTATTATGATTTTGTGGTCGGTTATGCTGAATAATTTTATGATTTTTTAAGGGCTTTTTGAGATTTTTTGTAAGAATTTTTAAACCCCTAATGCCCTTAACCCCATTGTCACGAATTTGTATGAACTCCAGACAAACAGACAGACATGAGCCACAAGAAACATAAATAAGCTAGAATTTGATATTTCTAGGAATAAAAAGTGAGCCCAAAAACCGGAATTGTCTTCAATATTCATGCGATGAAGAGGAGCGAGAGATAAAGTCGAGAAGATAAGAAGGTCATCAGAAAAGGATGACATTTAAGGCAGTAGGATTAAAAGTTCGTTTTCTGTCTTCTGTGTTGTGTCCATCCTCACTCCAAAATTCATGTCATGACGTAATAAATCTTAAGGAACGACGGAAAAAAAACTTTAATATTACGAATATGTACAGCTGATGTGCTTGATGTGATAAGAAACTTTTTTTGTTTTGTTCTTCGTCCATAAAGTAGCACATCCTGTGCCTGACATGATTCAATGTCATTCCAATTTGCAGTATACATTTCATCAAAATTATATTACATCAACCATCAAATAATGCTGATTTTCTTATAACAATCTCTGCCTCACTTTCTCTACTTTTTTTACTGCTTCTGCTATTTCTACTGATGCTCATTCACATAAATTTAATGTTTATTGCGAACAATTTGCTTCTCCCTTTTTTTCCAATCAGTCATGTAGAATGTGGAACGGAAAGTCTTGTGTAGTTTTTAGCAGGAATTTGTTGAAATTGTTTTTGGTAATTATACTCAGTTTGGGTGGGGATGGAGGAACTGTGAAGCATGTTGAATTCATTCTTTATATCAAGGATGCTTCCAGGTTCCTTTATTTGACATGAAAATTTATGGAATCCCTGGAAACTGGACCCTGGAAATTAAGACTCTGCTTTGAGTGCCAATCACATGTCGGGTGATCATTTACTGGCTTAATGAAAAATTCTTCATATTTTTCAATTTTTGTTTTATATGATTATTAAATTCCCAAAAGACGACTTTTAGACCCCCTCGATAAAATCTTAGTTTCACCCTCGAACTTTAAAAAAATAGTCCACCTCTCAAATGGCACCTTTATAGAGCCGAACCAACAGTAAGATTGTGTAATTAAATCACATTTCTTCAACTAATCATCATCCAGTAAATGACTGGAATTGGTGGGATTCTTTACATCTGTTTGCATCATTCTTAAAAACCTTTGACATTTATTATCAGTGTGGGTATTTCTTGAGAGCAAATATTATACTTTAAGATGGACATTGATTGCCAAAACTCAGTGTAGGAGTTAAATGCAATTATCTTTCAAACAACATTTACTAATTTCTCTCATTTTATTAAAATAAATAATTAATTACTTACCACAAGTTTATTGTTTTGGAAGAATTAAAGTTCACAATTTTGCCACTAATTATCATTTAAATCCAAGGCGTGGAAACTCAGGATTAATCCTGAACAATCCCAAAAATCCTACAAAAATCCCTGAGCCAACAAACATGGAAATGTGAAATCCCTTTTAAATCCAGAAGTTATTCATCAAATGCATCAGGGATTTAAAATGGATTTCATATTTCCATGTTTATTGGCTCAGGGATTTTGTAGACTTTTTGGGATTTTTCAGGATCAATCCTGAGTTTCCACGCCTTGCTTAAATCAATCAATTTTGTTTCAATAATTTATTTCGCTTAAAGATGCTTAAAGCAAAAAGAGCACGTGCAAGACCAAAGAAATCTTGGAGAGAAGCTGTTGACAGAGACAGTATTACACTTGGTATTGGTAATTGGCAAGTGATAGCCAGCTTCAGGTGCCATCTAAGGGAGGCTATGAACCGCAATTGATCTGTACGGCCAGAGAAGTTCAAACAGAGCTCGAAGTAGATGAACATATTACTGGTTATTAAGACCAAAGATAGCCTTTATAGCCTAGATCAGTGCCCTATGTGTCGCGGCACGCTACTGTGCCGAGAAAAAAATCAAGAAATTTCACAAACCGTATGCTGTGTCCGGTTTTTGTCAAAACTTACCACAAAGTTGTGCCAGAGCGTAAAAAATGTTTCCCACCACTGAACTGGATTATCTGTGAAAACTCTCAACAGACCCCTAATTTAAAATAAATGAAGCAGTATTTAAGATTCAAAATTCCATCTGGCACATCATTCTAAAATCTTACCTGGAATTTTTAAATCTTACCCTAATTCAGTTCGGAAGTAACACCTCAATTACAAAAGTATAACACAAAAGATAACAGTGCGCTCATGTCACTTTCATCCCAACATCCTCAAACATATTTTTAATATCAATTTTATTTCTTTTCTATCTCTCCTTTTTGTTTTTTTCTCTCCTCTACCTCATTCCAGTTCCATCATACCATAATATTCTGAAATGAAAAATCGATTCACTAGAAGAAAAAAAAGAGAACATGAAAAGATACACAAGGATACAGAACAGTAAGGCACTTATCGGTAATAATTGCTTGTCAAATTGTTTTTGTTATTAGAAAGTTTATTTGTTTTATTGATTCTTTTAAAATGAACGTGTGAGGTAATGTTGCTTTGTGCTCACATAAAGGGATTAATGGCTGTGTCATTGGATTTTATGATGGGGATAAAATTTGTCTGGAATTGGATTATTTTTGATTTTTTTTTTAATGTTTAAAATTTAATCGCCAGACTCAATACAAAAGGTATAAATTTTGGCATCTCCCAAAACTGGCAATTTTGGGGAACCTACAAATAATTTTTCAAGTAAAAGTTCGATTCCCAAAGTTTATTATTCTTCATTTACTAGAATTAATTCTACAAAAGCTAGCTTATTTGACTCTACAACTTGAAAATCTCTACAAATGCAAGCATTTAGTCCATCCAGCCAAATCCCATCAGTCACCTAAAATTCAATTAAAGATTTCCCAAGTAAAAAATAATTAACAGCAAAAAAATAAAACAACATAATTTAATTATATTAAATATACATTCATAATATACAGCGACAATTTATTCGAAAAAAAAATAAAATAATAATAAAATCTTTTTTGACACTTAAAAATAATTACATGCAATTAATTAATTTCAACATTCTCATCATTATCATCACTTTTGGTATCTTTTTGCTGTTGCTGCTGTTTTTGTAGTTCCTTCATCTGTTTGTAATAGTGCTGATGATGTAAGTACATTTGCAATGGCTTTTGAGATAAGCTTTCATCGTCACTCGATGATGATGATACATTATCTGATATGGTGTGCTGGTTTGAATGTCCATTTGATGTTCCCGTTGCATTATTTGCTCGTCTCCATCTGGAATATTAAGATGAGGTGGTTAGATAAGCTTATTTTTAGAGGATATCAACTAGTTTAAGCCTTAACACTTTCAACAATTACTTACTTCGCTCTTCTATTCTGGAACCATGTCTTCACTTGTCTATCACTCAAACTCAATTCCAATGCCAATTTTCGTCTATCTTCTGGCGATAGATATTTATGATTAGCGAACCTTCGCTCTAAATTTTGTGTCTGTTGAGGCGTAAATCGTACCTGTCCACCTTTACGCTTTGAACCACATGGGGGCAATAAATAGCTCGAGTATGGATGAAAATATGGCCACATGCTTCTTGCGGAAGACGCTAAAATTAGAATAGACATGAAAATAAATATATATGTGAACACAATGACTTGATCTACTATCAATAATATGAATTGATTGCGATAAATTATTGTAATTTTCACGCGACATGGTTTGTACAATGTTGAGTGAGTGAGAGGGGACATGTCACATGTAAAAAGCCAGGTAGCTGTGTTTTATATTGTATGTACATATATCAAAAAGAAGAAAAATTATTATTATCAGATGATAAGGTAAAAAAGGTGTACATTAACAGCCTTTTGATTGTGTCAATAACTCAATCTAACTCAATCACTGTTAATAACATAAATATATCGCGTTTCCATCATATAGCGCATACAATGAAATTGTAATGGAAATGCTGACTTGTGAGAAATTAATGAGAAATTAATTTTTGTGACGCTTTTTCTGGGTGAATCATTGAGAATTTTTTGAAGTGGGCTTAAATTATTAAATTCATTTTGTGCATTTGTGAAGTTATTGATTGCAGTTGAGTCACAATTTTTTTTTTGCAAAATCATTTTGTGAAAGTTAAATTAGTGCTGATGAATATTTGATTTGTAGTTTATTTAACTACTTGTCTTTGAATCTGCATTACTTGACATCAAGTCAGCATTTACTTGACTTAAAGTTGAAACTTACTTGAAATCAAGTTGACTTCTATTTGATTTTAAGTCGAACTTTGCTTGAAATCAAGTTGGAATTTACTTTACTTCAAATTGAAACCTACTTGACATCAAGTAAGCATCTACTTGAATTTAAGTCAATATTTACTTGACATTAAGTTGGCAACTACTTGACTTCTGGTTGAAATTTATTTGTTATCAAGCTGGAAGCTACTTTACTTCAAGTCGAAATTTACTTTACAGAAAAATGGTATCTACTTGATGAAGTCAAAATTTACTTGACATCAAGTTGGCATATACTGACTTTAAATTGAAACTTAAGTTGGAATCTACTTGACTTCAAGTTCGAATCTACTTGACTTCAAGTTCGAATCTACTTGAATTCAAGTTGGAATCTACTTGACTTCAAGTCAAAACTTACTTGATATCAAGATATTAAGTCTTATTATTACTTGACGCTGAATTGTTACTTGAATTAACTGTAATGAACTTGACAATTTTTGTTGAAGGACTCAACAAACTTCCGAATATTTCCTATAATATGTTAATAACTAAATAGTCTTAAATAAAAAAGTTTGAAGTGAATTGGATGATTGAACTGTTTGAATTACATGCCGTATGAGTTTCTTGATTTATTTCACTTTTTCCCATTTCGAGTGCTCTACATTCACACGACTTAAGAGTTATCGGAAGCTAATTAATCATCATTAATAATTAATCATCTTTCAGGCTAATTCATTGCCAATTAAATTTTTTTCTGGTGTGTGCGTTAATAATTTTTTTTTTGTGCTACTCTCTTGACGCTGAAGGGAGGGAAGTGAGCATTAATAAATGAAGAGCAAAAGTTTTTCCTCTTCGCTTTTATTTCGGAAAAAAAATCTGCCTTGTAGGCAAAAAGACAAGACATAAAAGTTGTGACTTTGTTTAATTGCAATTTATGATAAGGTTTAATTGGCATAAATGAAGATTTTTGGTACCTTTTTATTATTGAAGTACAACAACAACAAATTATTACTGCAAGTTGATAATGAGTAAATTAAAGGGAACGTGAGCAATTGCGATTAAATGCCGACAACATATTATTCCTTTATGACTCATTACTGTGAAGCAATGAAACGTAATCAGTAATTTTTTTGGCAAACTTCTTTTTGCGAACATTTTTGCAGAGCTTCTATCAGATTGGGTAGAATATGTAAGTAAGCGAAATTAATGTTTTTAAAGGCAATTAGTTTGCTTGAGAGCATTTACAGCATTTCAAGAGCTTTGGTAGACTTTTCAGAGTCTTGAAGGATTCTACAGAGCGTTGACGAACTAAACACAGCCTTGGCAGGCTTAACAGAACCTTGACTGAATCTACAGAGACTTCACAGAATCTACAGGGCCTTTACATAATCACCAGAGCTTTAACAGGTTTTACATAGCCTTGACAGATTATACAAAGCCTTGACAGACTCTACAGAGCCTTGACAGACTCAACAGAACCTTAACAGACTCTACAGAGCCTTAACAGACTGAACAGAGCTTTGACAGTCTCTTCAGTAACTTGAAAGTCTCAGCAAAGTCTTGACAGACTCAACAGAGCATTGACGGTCTAAATAGATCATTTGTAGACTCTATAAAGGCTTAAAATAATATTCAGAGCCTTAAAAAACTTCCCAAACCCTTAACAGAATTCTCAAAACTTTAAGAGACTGGTCAGAGCCTTGACAAGATTCACAGTGTATAATTAACTCTCAAAAGCCATTCGTCAGATTTAAGAAGACATCTCTAAGCCTCAATATGATAATACCAAGTAAAATGCACCAACAATTCACCAAAACTGCGCTCTAAAAATTCGCAATCATGAGCAACCTCCAAAATTGCTTAATCTCCTGCATACTCTCAAATAATTCCCAATATTTTGCGCTATCGAGCGTCGCACAAACAAGAAAAGCAAATCATACTAAAAATAGAACATTATTGGCAAATTGTCGGCTCACTCAAAGCCTCCAATAAATTATACCTGATTTATAATCGACTATCAAAAAATTATTAAAAAGCAAATGCGGCAGTGATGAAAGGTAAGCATTCGACTTCTGATTGCTTCATATTAATCGCCCACGACTAAAGCTCCCGAAAAAAAATATAGAAGTAAAAATGCCGAATGCTTTCAATCAATTTTATTAAATTACTTTTGAATTGATAATACTTCTTGTTATGGAGCAAGAAAGTGTTTTTTTGTCGGGGACTTTGAAAGTTTTTTTTTTTTGGGAAAATAAATAAAGAATTTGAAATTGAATCGACTGCCAAGCTGAGCTGCTTTAAATATTACGCGTTTACTATTTAGTCCAACAACTGGAAAATACTCGCGGGTATCGATTGTTTGTTAAGCGGTTTATTATGTTGTAAATCAATATAAGCATATATTGACAAAATAAACATTTTAAGGCTTTTATTTATGTGCTTTTCATCATTGCGCGGTTGGGATGTGAGGAAATTAATGAGGTTGATGAGCTCTGGAGGGGTGATTTTTTTGAAAATATCGGACAGAAAAATTTAAATTTTTAAAAATTTTACATTGAGTTTTCTTCGAAGTTTTCCGTTTCTATGAAGATTTGTATGTAATTATACCAAAATTACTTGAAATCTCAAAACTTAACAAGAGCGTAGCAGGGGGGGGGGGGGGGGGTGCCTGGCGCCAAATACCCAAGACACGCCCCTGCAACTTATTATTAATTTCCATGTTAACATGTTATAATTCTCTTATTTAATAATGTAATTAAGTAATTATGAATTCTCACCCATTTTCCATTAATAATATTTTTTCTCAGAAATTTCCTTATCATCCCAACTCTATGAATGCCACAATATACACATCACATCATAGAGAACTTATGTTAATTAAACATTGCAATACGATTATCGTTAATGGTTTGTTATAATTAATACGGCAATGTCAAATGAGCTATTAATAAATTGATTAATGTGGGTTTGAGAGAAGTAAAGCTCATTTGACGATTCGAAATGATTGTAAATTATAAACGATTGGGCTATTAAGTGCAGAGTGCTTGGTAATTAGTGCTTTAAAAATTTTTAAGGATTATTATGTAGAAAATTTTAAATTGATTGATTTTAAATTATGAAAAAGCTGAAAAAATTATTATAAGCTTTAAAAAGTTAAAGATATTAAGTTTGCACATAAAAATTTAAAGATTAAATCTGAAAATTTTGAACCTAATGGCTTTTAATAAAATTTTACAACCCATTAAATTTCATCATAAAATTTTCATAGTCAGAAAATCAATCACAAATTAATCGATTTAATAAAAAAATATTTACTCGTTATTTTAACCTTTTTTAAAGACACGAAAGTCAAAATTGAATTTATTTCAATTAAATTGACGACTGCGTAAAAAATGTCTACAATGTAAAGCTTCTTCCGAGAAGGATGGAAAATTATTTTGAATATGCCATTCTGATTTCAACAGAAGAGTTGAACATTTTATTGAAAATGCTACAAGCTGGCGGCTGTGATTTTATTTAAAAATTTCAAACATGGAATTAATTTTGTGGCATTTTAAAATGTAGAATTTTATCAAATTAAATCCAAACTGTTTTAAATTTGAAATTATAAGTTGAAAAATTATTTTTTAAATTTGTTTTAAAAAATTAAAGTTTCAACACAGTGGTGGGCAACCTTTTGTTGTGTCACGGCATACTTTTGTTATAAGCCATGACCGAAGACGGTTCTCAAAATTTGTTGGATTTTTTAAAATTAGTGTGCCACGTGACATCGGTTGGTCATCACTGGTCTGACAAAATTAATCTAAAACCCCAGAAAAATAAGGTGAAAAAAAATAATAACATCTCAAAGCTTTATCAATCCTCCCATCCACAAAAAAAATCCAGCCACTTTTCAATCATTTTAATACAAGATAATCAAAAGCTTGCGTGTCAAGCACGCAGCCAAGGGAGGATTTCGGAGACAAATCCCACTTTGTCATCAGAATTTTCTTCATTTTGCTAGGTTTTTTTAAAAAAAATTCACTAAACTACCCCCCACCCCCAACAAAAAATTTTTTTTGTCCACTACCCCTTCAAATTCCTGGCTACACCCCTGCAGCGTGCTAATTAAATTTTTCCAACTCAAACAGAAAGCTTCCTCATCATTTTCTGTCACTTTGTCAGCTTTTCGAATTTATATTTAATTCAAAATTTAATTCCATTAAATATCAACACTCACTGAAATGCCAAAAAAAATAGTAAAAAAAGCTTGAAGCTTTTATAATCAATACGAGATCCGTATTCATTACATCACATTATTATTTCATTAAATTTTCATAATAAATTATTAATAATTAAATTTTGATGATGAAAAATGTTCTGTGTTGTGGGA